AGGTCAGTGACTTTTAGTGGGAGTGGCCCCCAGCTCGCTCGGAGGGCTCCTCAACAGAGGAGCCCCCCCATTTTATATTCGTCTAACTCCAGCTTCTTGAGAAGTTACAGCTGCAAGCCACAGTGTAGCATTTTACATTCATATTCCTTTGGGGGGTGGGGTTGTTGTTCTTCTTTGTTTGTTGGGATTTTTTTTCCCATAAGCCAGAGGCAGAGGTGAAAGGCACTCGCTACTCTGTTGCTACACCAGAGTGACAAGATCACTGCATGAAACCTCATCTGCCGGAAACACAGCTTTTGTTCTTCAGCCAGGGTCAAAGTGAAGTGAGGATAAATCTAAATCGCAGATTAGGACCTCTGTTATATGGAATAAAAAAAAAGATGATTCAACAAGTCTAATGTAGATCTACTGGGGAGAGCAGCTGTGCTGTTCAAGGTTAATTTAAAAATAACAGGAGTTTCCTTTATGGCTAAAAAACCAAGCAGTTTGCTTTTATGCTGTGAGAGTTCTTCAGCCAAGTCCCAAAGGGCTTTTGGCAACTGTGCCACAAAGTCAGCTGGAGCAAGGGAAGTGTACTAGCATGCCAAATTGATCTATATATGGAAAAATATTGCAATATTGTGTATTCTTTAAATACTTAAAGACCAAATGGAAACAGGACCCATGCTGAGAGTAGGGAATTGTTATTTGGACAAGAATCTCATTTAAAAAACAAACCCACAAGTTCTCCATAAATCATGTTCACAGATCTCAAAACAACTTTAAAAAAAGTTTTTCAACATACTACCATTATTATGATTTCACCAGAATTTAGCTTACATACAAACTTTATTTTGTTTTGTTTTGTTTTTTTTTAATAAGCCAAAATAGTGCAATGCTCTGTTTTTTACTCTATTTAAAATCCTTCTTACCAAAAGAAGCATCCTCCTGTTGAAGTCCAAAAAGTACTATGTCCAAGCTAACACCTCTTTGTAATAATTAATATGGCATGGATACAAACGTGTTTGTATGTTATTAAGTTACAGAACAGAGGGTTTACTACATAAATTAACATTGATTTGAAACAGTGCCATTATGAAATTCGGAAGGAAAGCACATAAGGATTTGGGCTATCAAATATGTCTGCTGTTTTGTGAATAGCATTCATAGACTAATTATCACATTTATTTTTAAATGTGTATTTAATTGCTAATATTTTTCTCATTAGAAATTAGAGTTGGGATCATCTCTACAGAGCAGTTAAACAAAAAATAGCCCCAAACAATGTTTAGTATTGTAAAACCTGGTGCTACACATTTAAAACCAGCTTAAAGACAGGAATATTAAAATTAATGTCAGAATTTTTCCCATAGTAGAGAGTCTGTTTTGTCTGTTTATTTTTTTTTTCTTTGAGATGTGTAATATTTAGGTGGACAACAGTTCATGGCGTCAGATATCTTTTCAGAAAAAACAGATACTTTGGCTTCTGAAGAGATAAAAATCAATTTATTATCACCCCATTCATACAGAAAGTACTAAAACAGGGTATGGATTAAAAAGCTCATTATAAAATGTAAAAACATATAGTTCAGCTGCATATAGGCATACATTGTTCTGTTAAACATCTATGGAATAAAAAAAAAGAATAAATAAAAAAGATAATGAAACATAGCATTAGTTTGACAGATTTTTCATGTAACACCATCACGCTGCCACACAGCTGTTTGTAAGCTGTCCAGCCTAGATCTTGGAAGCTACCAAGAATTATCATCTAATTAGCAAGACATCTCTCTGTACTTCAGTTTGACATCCTAATCCCAGCACGTGTTAAGCACATACAATTGAAGTAAATTGCGGGCACAAGCATGAGCAGAACTAGAGTATTGAACTTTTAAAACAAAACAAGAAAACCCCTCAAACTTTTGCAAACGATTCAGCACAACAGATGGCCACAAGGACATGTGCCAGAACATCTGGAGCCAAATGGTGTATCTTTAACTGAGACTAGTAACTTCTCAGGACCAAATACATTCCAGTTTCATGACGTATCAGAGAGGTGTGTTCCTCAAATGAACTGATTCCACAGTTTGTTTTTCAGATTTAAGACTATGTTTTACTACAAAAGAGAAAAGTTAAAAATTCTATCATGAAAAAAAACCCCCACAGATCAGCAATTAAATAAGCTATATCAAACCAATTCACATCAGATTTTCATCTAGAAAATTTTAAATAGAAGATAAAGGGTTCAGAAATGTTAAGGCCCCAGACAATAGTTAAGTAACTCTAATGCATTAGAAGTATGTGCATAGAACATCTTACTCCCTGTTCTCTGTTGAATTCTCTTGACTATTCCTATTTTGTTTGATTTAAATAACGTATAATTAGAATGACACAACATTTTTATTGTATATAATTAGAATAGAATGAACTTGATATAAAAATAAGCATTCTATGAACCATATTACATTAGATTTCACTTTGGCAGGTGCAAAAGCTGTTTTAAACACTCCCATTTATTCATTCAGTGCAAATCCTTGCAAATAAAAAGACAAGTCATAGTTGCTCTCCTCAGATCCTTTCCTGTACTTGATGTTGTAGAGAAGGAACACAAAGATCATAAAACACGTCCTGCCCAAAGGTAATGCCTTAGCAGTCTTTATGCTATCTTTACAATCCTTCTGTACCAATCAAGAGAGGACACAAAGCTGCATTACAGTAAAACTTTGGAAGTACCAAATTTAAATATATGTAATTAAAATCCTTCTTGTGTATTTCTCTAGACTCTTGATATAGCACAAGTCACATTTAAATACAAAGGGCATTTTAGGAGTTTCACTTACAGATTAATGCTTCTGTATTATATTAAGCACAACCTCTTCTAGAAGTGACTCATTTCTTTTTCAAGATTTATCACTCAAACTGAAGTACTGAATATAGTTTTCAAAGTTACAGAACACCTTTTCTTCAAATATCAACTAAACTGAAGCTATTTCTACAATATTGTTTCACCAATTCATCAAGGATCTTCAGGCTACTCAACAGGAATCTGCAACAAATGAAGTAAAGTATTTTGGAGAGAAATAACATATACACAGACCTATGAAAAACAGCAAGCAAACCATTCCATTAATCCTTCAAATGACATAAGAGTGGAAGTACAGAATTTTCCTGTCTACAGAGTATGTCTTATGAAGAGATAGATGGGAACCTAGCTCCACACATGTTGAATGTGGTAACCAGAATCAGAACTTCAACAGTCACGGATCTGTGTTGTGGTTTAACTGCAGCCACCAACCAAGTAATACACAACTGCTCGCTCACTCCCCCACCAGTGAATCAGGGTAAGAACTGGAAAGGTAAAAGCTAGGAAACTCATGGGTTGAGATAAAGACAGTTTAATAGGGAAAGCAAAAGCTGCTCACAGAAGCAAAGCAAAACAAGGAATTAATTCACTGCTTCTCATGGGCAGAAAGGTGTTCAGACATCTCCTGGAAAGCAAGGCTCCATCACACTTAATGGTAGCTTGGGAAAATGAATGCCATCACTCCAAACAAACATCCTCCCCTTTCTCCTGTCCCTGCCGCTTTATATACTGAACATGGTGTCATACTGTATGGAATATCCCTTTGGTCAGTTGGGGTCACCTGCCCTGCCTGTGTCTCCTCCCAATTTCCCATGCACCCTCAATCTTCTCACCTGTGTGACAGTATAACCAGCGAAAAAGGCCTTGTCTCATGTAAGCACTGCTCAGCAATAACAAAACCATGCCTGTGTTATCAATACTGTTTCCAGCACAAATCCAGAACATAGCCCATATAAGCCACTGTGAAGAAAATTAACTCTATCTTAACCAAAATGTTACAGGCCCTTCTTAAGAAGGATACGAAAGGAAGGCTCTGATAACACAAAAGCTAAAAACTAAAAAAGATAAGTCTCTCCTGGGGAAATGATTTAGGATTTGTTTATACTTCATTACTTTATTACAATTTTTGTTAATAATTAAAATTCAGAAGCATAACTGGGTAATTTTATGACTGGCGAAGAGCAAGTGAAGAATAAGAACAAAAGAAAAGCAAAGCCCACCTTTATTTTCTTATCAAAAGTGGTATGTTTCCCTCAGTTAATTATGAGGCGTTCCCTAAGAAAGCTATGAATGAAAAAGACTCCATACTGTGTGAGGGACAGATGTGGGTGACACTTCCAGTCAACCAAATGTTTTATGGACACTATAGCAAGAGAACATCTTTATTTTGAACCTTACAGTATATAAAATTTATTCCTATTGCAGCAGCAAATGACCTTGGAGAATAATTTCTAAAGACTTAGGAAAAAAGGACTCGAGAAAGAGCTGAAAAGCTGGTTTTCACAAGGGAGGGCTCGTTGACTTGGGCGCCAGTGGGTCCTGTGGTGGAAAAGGTTATGAAGACATGTTTCTGACTAATAAGTGTCCTACCCATCTGCTAACGAAGAAGATGAAGCTCCAAGCTGAAAAGCTGACAGAACCCGAGCCTGCTGTCCGGATCGACAGCCGGGTCAGGTCGCCTCACGCTGTGTTTTCCCTCAGGCCTGCGAGCTCCAGCCTCCGCCGGCGGACGGGCGCTTCCGGACGGCACCGGCGGGCCCGTAACAGCTTAGGAAATGCCCACAAAGACCGGGGCAGCGGCTGAGGCCCCGGGTCGGTGGGGCGCAGGAGCGGGGGGCACAGCGGCGCTGCCCAGCCCCGCTGGCACTCGGCTGGAAGCGCCGTCGGGCGGGCGGAGGGCGCCGCCGCTGCGCCCCTTCCCCTCAGCCCGGGCTGGTTCGGAGGCTCCGCTGTCGGGCGGCGCGGGGAGCAGGACCGGGATGCAGGGCAGCGGTGCCCGGTGTGCCCGTCAGCCGGGCGGATCGAGGGCTCCGGCCGCGGAAAGGGAGGGTGTTGGCGCCGCCATTCCCCCGCCTCCCCTCGCTTCAGGCGCCCGCGAACGCTCGGGTGCGGCTTTCCGTGAGGTGATGGGCGCTGCAGAAATACCTCAGGTACCGCGCCCGCTCCGGTTCACTCTGAAAGCAGCAGCTCTGAAAGAAGGGCAGCCCCGGCCGAGCAGGCGGAAAGGGGCCGGCTCTGACCGTCACCAGCTCCCCGGGGCCGCCCCGGGCGCCCTCCCTGCCCTGAGGGCTCGTCGCTAAAACCTCCCTTCATTCCGCTCATCCAGAACCGTAAGACGTTCAAGGAAGGAGTGGATGAAGATGGCAGCTTAGTGGTTGGGGTTGGGGTTTTTTTTAGGGGTTTTCTTCTTCTTCTTTCTTTCTTTCTTTTTTTTTTTTTTTTGGTACTAGCCTTAATAGCAAGCTCCTCGGAAGATCTGAAGAATATTTTTTAATCACAATAGATCCATGTATCTTCCACGGTTCAAATGCTGTTGCTTTCAAACCCACATTAGTTGAAATGGTGAATTCTTGCAAAGAACAGGTGCTTTGGCAGAAGAAAACTTAAGACCTATTAGGAAGAAACTACTTTAAAGAGGCTAAAAATATAAAATACATAAGTTTTAGCTTTCATCGCCATCTATAGCTTGGGTATTTCGCATGGGTTTTGGCTGACAAAATCAGTGCCAAACCTTCCACTTCATTCAGCTGAGCTAAATTTCTTTTGCTGTCCCCTTAATGCCTGTAGATTTTGAAGTGCGAAATTGTTTTGTGTGTTAAAATTGAACATTTCTTGTTTGTGCTTAGACAAATAATATTTGTAGATATTTCTACTTTGTCCCTTCTCTACTTTCAAATTTAAAACAAAAAATTAGGCCCTAATTGCATTTGGGAAACTTAGCTAACTTTTTATTCTCTGTAGCTAAAATATGTCTATTGGGTTTGTTCTGTGTATCAAAAGAAAGAACTGTTTGTTTGAATCTTTGTACAGTTTCACAAATGTCTAGAGAAACTCTTGGACGTTATATTTCAACTTTTGTGTGATGTTGCCAGGAGATAAATATGCGTGTGAATGAGAAGAGAAAGGAAACGGAAAGAGGTCTGTCCAGAACTAATTTGGTGGTAAACACATTGCTTTAGAGTGGTCACTCATTTTTATAAAGGAAACACTGTTCTGAAAGAGCATGTAGTCAACAAAATGCATTAACTTTGAATCACTACAACATTGCCATTCCATATATGGCAATTTATTGCCATAAACTTTTATTACAGTTTTTAGAGAAATACAAGGTTGAAATGTTCAGGACTTGTAGCTCTCTGAAAACGTTAAATTATCTGCATTCAAAAACTGCTGTGTCCTGAGCCATAAGCACTGCCTTCGCTTGTGGAATGCTCTGAACTAGCTGGTGCCTAATGTTTTGTTACTTTCTAGCAGTATATAATCAAGGTGTTTGAGACAGAGAGATCTGTTGACTGTCAGGGCAATGTGTTCTGGTAGCATTTCAGCTGAGCAAAGAGAATTGGTCCTGAGCACACTTAACTCATTCCTGTTAGTTGCAACAAGTTTGAACTTCCATATGCTAATATGATAAAAGGAGTTAAAAATCCATTACCCTTTTCCGACTAAGCTTTTAAATTTTACCTTGGTGTTAATCCCAAACTGCTCATCTTTCACTTGTGAGTATTTAGATTGGAAATTTAGCTGCTTTTGTAGCTGGAGGTCTTCTGTACTTGCTCAAATACAGGCTTTTCCACTGTTTGGCTGTTTCTTTATTAAGTTCTTGTACAAATCATAGTGAAATACATTAAGAAAGCAACGGGAAATGAAAAGAATTTGTGGGGTTTATTTTGTTATTTTGTTTGTTTGTTTGTTTTTCCTCTTTTTTTTTTTTTTGGCAGGGGAGGAAGAGTTGTTTTGTGGGGAACAGGCTATAGGAAGAAAATGTTTGTATTCCTTATTCACAGAAGTTATTAAGTGGTACTGTGATAAATAGCTAATTTGATACTATAAGAAGAATGAGTGAGTCATTTTCTGCTGAGATAGTTACATAAATTAGACACTGGCTTAATAAGCCTCCATTTCAGTGAAATACACTGTACATTCTTTGTATTCTTGGGTCTTCCCTAACCAATGGAACTCTTTTTTTTCAACAGATTCAATATTTTAAATATCTTCGCTGAGTCAAGAAAATGGTGACTTCTCATTAATTTTATTTTGATCTTTTTTTTTTCTTTTTCTTGCATACATGTACCAATGATATCATATTCTGCAGTTAAACCCCTTAAAACAGTCCTGGGTTCAAGTTCTGCCTAACGTGCTCCCTAATCACTGCACTGACCTGGTAATGGCAAGGGTCTTTGCTGTCATATTTGATCTCATTTTCAATCATCAAAGCAATTAATTTTTAAGAGGACTCCCTTCCTCCCTTTATGCAATATTCTGATTTTACAAATTAAAATTAAAAAATATGTTGAGGTATAGGCATGCTTCTGTCATAAAAGAAAACACACCTGGCTTGTAAACTAAAAAATGAGAGAAAATAGGAGGTTATGTTATGATTTTGTTGTTCAAATGTCGTTAATGTGCATACAATTAATTATGCATCTTAAATATCTGATACTCTTTTCGATGTAAGAACTATGGAGAAATGAATACTTCAAGGGATGTATTGAAAAATATATCTTACATAATCCTACTTCTTCTTGGCAACATTTCTTTGTCTTTCTTTTTTCTTCTCCCTTCTTCATAAGGGGATAGCAAAGTAAGTAGCTGGAGTGATCTGTTGTGTATCTTCTGGCTGACAATTTGCTGGTATCCTTGTTAAGTGTTAAGATAAAATGCTTTTGTTACAAGGTGTTACTTTTAAAGAATTAAAAGAGTTAAAAATAACTTTACTGATAAGTAAATATTCCTTGAAAAAATCTGTTGCATTGGTTGTTATAACTTCGGGGTTTTTTAAAATATATTAGGATAAAACCAGTTTGACACTTTTTAATGGAGGATTAGCAAAACTTTGACTTTCCTATGGCTGAAAAAAAGAAAAAAATTTATCTAGATAAAGTGTGGGTTTGTAGTGAAAATGCAAAATGTATAAAACAGGAACTGTTTTCAAGTGATGATGCTATACAAGTTTATACAGCTCAGCCATGGTACTGCAATGTGTATACTCATCCATGATCTAATAAGTGCTTGATTTCTGACAAGTATCTTCCTGAAGAGACTCCATAAAAGTGGAAGTAATTATATCTGTCTAGAGCTTCCTCTAGGAAGTAGTTCTGGGAAGAGAATGCAGATAGCAAAGATAAGATTACAGGTGTTATAATCCTAATTTTTTGGTCATCTTCGTTTTTGTTGGGACATGAGCATGCTTACTTTGTATTATGTGCAGAAATATTTTAGATGTGTTCTTTTTCTCAAGTGTATGAAAAATAAAAAACTAGTTGCAAAAAACACAATATTATTTCAATCACTGTTGAATCTGTGCTCTGTTATTGGGGGTAAGTTAATTTATGTCTAATTTTCAGCGTCAGTGTTTTTTTTTTTTTATTAGACAGTTCTTGTCTTTAGGACAAGAGGGTACAGTCCTAAGCTGTGCCAGGGAAGGTTAAGGTTGAATATTAGGAAGAAATTTTTTACAGAGAGACTAATCAGGCATTGGAATGGGCTACCCAGGGTGGATTCACGGTCCCTGGAGGTTTTTAAGATAAGACTGAATGTGGCACTTAGTGCCATGGTCTGGTAACCACGGCAGTGTTGGATGAAGGGTTGGACTTGATGATCTCGGAGGTCTTTTACAACCCAGTTGATGCTATGATTCATGTTGTCTTCATTGATAACTATTTACTTTCTAGTATCAATTGCCTTTGAGCAGATGACTTTTCTGATAATCTAAGACTGATTTTTAGGTATACAGAAAGAAGAGAAACAGGCAAGCTGCTCTGTCCTTCCAACAAACCAAAATCTGACCTGACCTCCCCATCACACCCCTGCATTTTTCAAAGCTTCCTGTTCCTCGGGGCTTTCTAGTAGTTTTACTCCCTTGGAAACCAAAGCATTATTTTGGCCACAAATTAATATGTTGAACTCCTGCAAACCTTTCTTCAATGCTCTCTAGAAGACAACTGTTCTTCTGTCCATCTCTCTGGAGAACCTCACCCCAAGCACTCCTGTCTTTTACACAGTGCCTACGGCACAGCTTTTCACAGCTCTGCAGACAAATCCTATGCCCTGCCTTAGGTTCCCAAGCCTGTTTGCACTGAATCCAAACAGCTGCAGCACTTGGAGCAAAGGTTAGCTCTTGCTTGCCAGTTTTAACATTGACAGAATGCATAGCCCTTTGCTTTGGAACAGGAAGGCTTTCTAATTCCTATTGTGAGTTTTGCTGTTGTAACCATGTTAAGAATGTAGAAAATACAAAACATGCATATGGTGCGCTGTTCCAGTGGAAGTTCTTTCCACTGAAGTTTTGCAACCATTATTTATTTTAGGGCAGGATGATCGCCCAACTGAGCAAAACTGCACAACACTGATATCTGTGTAGTACTGTTGGATTTTAGTACCAACAGGTCCTTCAAATCCATGCTAAGGACTTATGAATGTCTATAATGACAATCACAATTGGAAATTTGATGAATGAACGGTCTTTGAACTTTATTTCTGTATTTTCTGTGCTTTTAAATTATAATAAGCAAATCTATAAGGTAAAAAATGAACAGCTAGTGTGTCCTGCAGGAATAGCAATGAAATGGAAAACTAAATTTGTTAAATGTATCAGATTGGACTTGCTCTCTGTTGGTACAGAGGTTTATCACAAAATTCAGTTGAAGTCAATGTGGATTATAATTATTCACCTGTGAGAGCTTTCAAAGTAAGATAAGGACTTTATTTCTTCCTCCTAATGCATTCCATGCAATAGTTGATGGTAGCAGAGATACGGATACATCTCCCAAATAGACTTCCTGTGAAAGCATATTTTCTTTCGGTTACATTTTAGAGTGGGCTGCCAAACTTTGTTCCAATCCAGTTAAGAGACAGTGCATGACGTATGATCTAGGTGGCTTTGCTGAAGCCATCATGCTGAATTCCTGGTTACTCTTTGTTCCAGAGCTTGGGTTGCACTGAAACATTTTAACAGTTATTCCAAACTCCTTTAAGGTTGGGAAAATATTACATTGTACACAAATGACTGAAAGAATATTTTCAGATATTGATTACTGTATATATTTGTGCTTAAAGGTAGTTGGAAACTGATTTTGCATATTATATAGGTATTAACAGACAGAAGAATAATGTGCTAATTATTTTGAGAATTTTGAGATTTTTCAACTGTCAGCAGTTGAAAAGTTAAACCATATTTCAGAAGTGGATTAAAAGATTCATTCAAAAGAAAAATTAAATTACAAAGTAGATTTAAAAATTAAAGTTATACACACGGTCTGTCTGAAAGCATATGTGTCTACAGCAGTTGTATGAAAAGCAAGTAGTGTAACCAAAGCTGTAGGTTCAACTCAGGAAAAAAGAAAGTACAGAAATATGACAGAAGTTCCTATGATCACGAAGGAGGAATGTGAAACTGTTACTTATCAAATCTCACAGTACTAAAACTAGATGGCCCTCAATAACGTAGTAGGAGGTGAATTTAAAACAGACAAGTAAAGTGCTGCTTTATGAAGTAGGCATTGAACTTTTGGAATTTACTGGAGATTGTAGAGTCAGATAGTACAAGTAGGTTCAAAAATAAATTGTTGTCATAAACATAATAGTTACTCAGGAAGAACAGAAGTAGGCAAATGTGTGCTTTCTAACATCCCTAATCCAACATTTTTAGGGGCCGTGGGAGTGTGTTGGGAGAAACTGGCTGGATGTGTATGTTCTCCCTACATTGCATTTCCTTTTGCTACTCTGAAGTACAGTGCTAGGTGGATCTTTTGTCTGACTTAGGAGTTCTTACATATAAAATCTTCCATTTTTCTGCCCCAAATATTTTTCTACCAGCACTTGCAGGCAATCTCAGGAGCTTCCAATTGATAAGAAATCCAAATTAATTTCTAAATTGCTTGTAGTTATTTTTGGGGGGTGTATTCATTTTTGCCTTTTACAGGCATTCAGAACATCAGTATGTATTTCTTACCAGTGTATACTAATGAAAATGTCAGATATTTACCATAAAATAAAACTATCTCATGACTATTGCTTTGACTGCTCTTGAGTGCTTGCCAGAGATTAGACTGTGGGTATAATTTTCTTTTAATAACTTCATGTTGGTAACCCTGCACTCTAGTTTACCCAGATTTGTGCCAGAACAAATCAAATATGAAATCTCTGCCTTATTTATTTTGGAATTCTGAATGTAAAATAGCTTATGGATATTTTAAGAGAGTATGTTCTGTGTGCTGTCATCAACTATAATCTTCTCGTCCTTGTATTCAGTGTATCAGCACTTGTTCCTCAGTGATATGAATGTTTTTTCTGGAAGATGTTAGTACTTAGATCCCACTTAGAGAAATACAAAACAGAGAGCTCAAAAGTACAATCTTTTTTTGTTTAATATTATCTGAACCACTTTTCAGATGACCTTAATTTTCAATAAATCAATAATGTGATGCAAGATATATCCTACGTTACCCATAGCCAGTGGGTTTATACTGATAGAAATAGCAGAATAGCAATATATTTACATAGGAGTCTGTAACTTTCAATATTTAGTTATTTGAGCCAGAAACTATTGAAATACTGTCATTTTTGAGTGTTGAGGCACAGCAAAGCATAATATCTGTGGATATGTATCTGTGTATACACGCATGCTAATAAATTGGAATTTTGAATGTTGAAACTAAAAAGAAATTGCCTTTAAATAAATAAAAACAGTCCTGAAAGATGTAATATTTTATGCAGAAAGGAGTCTTGGTTCATTTTTTAAAAACATTCTGTAATATTACTTTGAACTTTTCTTATTTGTGTATAACTTTACTAACCTAAGTATCAATGTCCTTTTTTTTTTTTTTTTTATTTAGTTCCATTATAAGAGGAAAAATCTGAAAAGATACACTGCGTTTGTGTAGCAAGGTTTTGGTAGTAGGGGGGCTACAGGGGTGGCTACTGTGAGAAGCTGCCAGAAACTTTCCTCCTGTCCAAAAGAGCCAATGCCAGCCAGCTCCAAAACAGATCTACCACTGCCCAAGGCATATGAGCCCATCAGCAATGATTTGACAAGGGGAAAAAAGGGATAACAGTTTTAAGAAGGGGAAAAAATTGCTGTGAAAAGGCAGCCAGAGAGAGGAATGAGAATGTCTGAGAGAAGCAACCGCAGACACCAAGGTCAGGGAAGGAGGAGGGGGAGGAGGTGCTCCAGGTGCTGGAGCAGAGATTCTCCTGCAGTCCGTGATGAAGACTATGGTGAGGCAGCTGTGCCTCTGCAGCACATGAAGGTCAGTGTCGGAGCAGAGAACTACTTGCAGCCTGTGTAGGACCCCATGCCAGAGCAGGTGGGTAGCCGAAGGAGGCTGTGACTCTGTGGAAGGAAGCCTGTGTTGGAGCAGGCTCCTGGTAGGACATACGGACCTGTGGAAAGAGATGCTGGAGTGGGTTCGCTGGCAGGACTTGTGACCTTATGGGGGACCCATGCTGGAGCAGTCTGTGCCTGAAGGACTGCACCCCGTGGAAGGCATCAGTGGAAGAACAGTTTGTGAAGCCTGTGGGGAGGACTCACGTTGGAGAAGTTTTTGGAGGACTGTCTCTCGTGGGAGGGACCACATGCTGGAACAGGGAAAAAGTGCAAGGAGACCTCTCCCTGAGGAGGAAAGATTGGCAGAAATGGCGTGTGATGAACTGATCGCAAACCCCACTCCTGTCCCCCTACACCTAGGGGAGGAGTGGGGACATAGAGAAAAAGAGGAGTAAAGTTAAGCCTAGAAAGAAAAGAGGAGTGGAGGAAGGTGTTTTAAGATTTGGGTTTATTTCTCATTACTCTGATCTGACTGGTAATAAATCAAACTAATTTCCCTGAGTCACCTCTA